AATGTGGACAAACCACGGACCAAAATAGCTGCTCATATACAGACAGACATGTTCATCTAACACATCATAACATCAAGCCACACATCAAGCTCAGCAGTGCAGGAAAAGGGAGATAATCTGCTGTCCCTGTTCATGCAAACCCTCATGCATATGGAATGCCATAATACTCAAAATTATACACACACACACACCTCAATTAATAAATACGGAAATATAGAAATAAATGTAGATACTTCTATAAATGTCCTTTTTTTTTTTTAAATGAATCAATAAAAAGTATTATATTTCATAATATAATGCGAATGTTTTACTTAATTCAAATTCGATTTCACAATTAAGTCCCAGTTTTTACATTGATGTATTTCCGAATGACGTTTTTCCGAACCAGCTTTTATATTTCATAATGCAACTTTTCGTAATAACGGTGCGCTCTGTCAATCACTTTAAGGGGGGCGGGACTGAGCTTGTGATTTGCTAATCCATTGTGATCTATTATTCACTATGCAGGATATAAGGGAGAGCAGTATATGGATGCACCGATTTCCGGAACAAACACATGAAAGAAGCTGTCATGCCAAATGTCTGACCCCTTTAGAACGCCGCCTGGGTATGTGTGCCGAGACCATCTCAAAAATGAGGAGCATTTATCCTGCCCCAGAAGGATCGTGTTAACTGCAATGTGGTACAGCAGTACAGATTAACACTATTTGAATGATAATTTAATCCGCTCACATTTATGCTCCTTTTTGCACAAGCCCAAACACACTCAGAGTGCATTCAATGCGTGTACACGCGCACATACACAGTGCACTAGGTACAGTGGGGATTAAAATTATTTTAAAGATTTAAGACAATTAATCATGTGCCTATAAAATCAATAATTGTTATAATTATTACATATTTTACTCTATACATACAGGTGTATGTGCATGAGATCTTACTTTTAAATGCAAAACAGGCTGTCGCTTGTGACTCTCCTTTTAAAAAGCGCGCCAGAAAAGGGTGCGCTAACGTCACCAAAAGGCTTTGCGGTCGCGCGCTTCCCGCCGTTAGGGTTAAACCTTTCCGTGAATTTGGATTACAGCTAGGTAAGTTACCAAATTAGTTTTGCAGCAAAAATGTTCGCCTACGTCAGATACATAGACGACGGATGTAAAGAAATCGTTCCCACTTCAGATATTAAGGATTTTGATAGTAAGTGTTTGAATATTAGTAAAATTTACTGGGTGCGCTGGTTGGAGGATTTAGATATTCAGATATTGTTCCTGAGAGGATAGTCGTGATATCTCAAATACTTAGTTAGTAATATAACTTAAAAAGTTAAATGCAAGTTAATTGGATAGGTTTAGGTAACGCTAGTTAATTAAATATATCTTTTGACTAACAATGTATGCTAAACGTGCTAGTGCGAGCTAGCACCGCTGAGTTAAAACGTTTTTTTTTTTTCATCTGGGAGCAATGTAGTGTCTCAGACAACTATTAGTGTTGGGTGACATTATATATAGCAGGTGCTTTCAATATACTGTAGGTATATTAATACCCCAACTACACTTTAAGTGTATCTGACATTTGTGTGCATACGTACAGAATCTAATACCTTGATTGTTTTGTTATGGATTTTTATCAGATTCACTTGGGAGAAGTTCGACTTCAAAAAGAGGCCTGGTCCAAGATAAAAAACAATACTCGGGATTGTAAAAGTGTTGGCAGTGGCACAAAGACATTGTGGGAAAGGAGCCTTATGGGGAAAGAGTTTACCACCACAAAGACCAGCAGGCAGCCTTTAACCCCACAGAAGCTCCAAACATTGAAAGGTAAATCATTCATGACAGCAGTACCTATGGGATGGGATGCCAAGGACTGGGTTATTTATTTGATATGTACCATTAAAATTGTCTTTGTTCTGTTGTGACTGAAGTTCTTTTACATATACATCAAAATTAAGCCAATGTATTAAACCCATTTGTGAAGCCCAGGTCATGCATGCTCAAGTGGATTAATCTTTTTAGACCCTATTTGACACTTAGGTCTATCTTTCTTTTCAGTCTA